AGCCTATAGAACATTTCCCCAAAACGCGAAAGGTTCGTGTGCCCTCATAAAGCTAGTCCCAGCATCCTATGTAGTGATGGATCATGAAGAGTTAATGGTCCACAAGAAGGTAAGGATGGCAGGGAGAGTTCGCAGGGAGCTGTTCTCTGAGGGCGACCAAGCATGGGCTTGGTTCCCCTCATGGACAGGTTGGGGAATAGAACTTATGAAGCGCCTGAACAATTTTTCTGTCATCGTGGATAGTAATGTTTAACGAGACCGTAGAGACTGTCAGAGAAATTGCCCAAGAACAACGGCAGATGGGAATTTTAGCGCTTCAAGAGAAGATGGCCCTTGATTACCTTTTAGTTGCCAAAGGGGGGTTCTGTGAGTTCATCAGAGAGGATTGTTTGTACTTGGATAGAAGACACCGATGACAAGGTCCAGGCCCATATGAACAAAGTTAGTGAACTACAGGAAAAGCTAGAGCTATAGCTAGTGAGGGTTGGAATCCGTTCAAGGGTTTGGGAGGATTGGGAGATTTCCTGTTCTCCATCGGATCTTGGTTGAAGGAAGTGGGAGTGTATGTCCTGATGCTTCTCTTTTTCATCTGCCTTTTATATGCCGCGGTGAGATGTTCCTGTTGCCTCATCGACTGTGTAAGCCAAGCTCGGGCAGACGACCACATCTCCATGCCCGCTCCTGGGATCCCGCTCCAACCACTGATCGGAGGAAGACCTCACCAACCAACCACCTTCTCTGCAGATTACGTCCTGGCTTCCCTCTAATTTATCTCTCTGAAGACCACATTCTCCAAGACCCTCCAAGCAAGCTTCAAGCCTCATCATGGTTTGTGTCTGCGATTTGGAAAACTGTCTGGGTCGAGACCAGCCTTGTGTGGCCCCGTCTGCAGGGCAATTTGAGAATCTGTTGCTGGATCTCCCCAGACCACCGTGGATCACAAGCCTTATTCATACCACAAGTCTGTTTGTGGTTTTTGCAAGAGTCCTTCCTGTAGTGAAGGTTCCAACGCTCTTGAGGATCATCGCTTCAATCAAGCCTGTTTGCGTCGAGTTTGCGTCGGTCGTTGTTGTTTCAGGTACCCCGTGGAGCTTTATTCTCAGGGACAACTACAGGAACTCTGGTCTAAGACCAACTCTTTTGAGGTTTTGAGACTACACCCATCAAGCATGAAGAAGATCAAGAAGGGACACGAGGAGAATATGATAAAACAGGAGGGAATGTCATGGAAATTTGTATTGTTGGTTTGAACTTTAAATGTGTCATATATGATCGTGTTATTCATATGTCTCATCGTGTGGCTTAAATTAAAGCTCTGAAGGCTGCAATTGGGCCATCGCGCATGTACAATGTATGTATTACAGTACTCAGCTCGGTAATGGATGAGATGGCAGATCTGCGCTTATAGACCGGCGGCCCCTGTAAATCTACCCACGCACTAGCCGGCATGTTAATCCACATCATCAGCAGCATGCCTGTAAGCACCGTGGACTTCGTGCCGCAAGGCGCCAAGTGTGGAGTACGAACTGCCATGCCGTGATCTGCCACGGTGTAGGCTTATGCATATCTTACAACCCAATTACCAACTTGAAACTGTAACTGGATGGATGTGTTTTAATAAAGATCGTATCGGGCCCATCCAGGTACAGACTGGTATTTTTAGCTTAGGGAAATGCTTGTACAAAGAATTTACATACCAATAGGAGCTAGTAGGACAGGAAATAATGCCCTCCATAGAGGGCTAAATGGGGGGGGACAGGGGAGGAAGTCTGCTGACCTCAGAGGTACTCATGGGGAGAGAGGACCAAGGATAGATAATAGGAAAGGTTATGAATTCTCCAATCGGAATGTATATCCTGTGTATAGGCACCCCCATTGCATTGTTCGGTTGGGCCCCCCCCCCCCCCCCCCCCCCCCCCCCCCCCCCCCCAGGGGATTGACTTTATTCATGTGGGGGCAGTGTGTGTGTTTTGTAATAAAAACCCTGGGATTAGGCTGAGTCTGAAGCCGGCCTTTATGTGAAATTCCAAACGGCAGCCTTAGAGTGTCGTGTGTGATCATTCTAGGGTAAACGGAGTGAGAGCTCCACCCCCCACATTTCAACAGATAGCTAACCCATTTGATGGGCAGGAATCGTGTAGTTTATGCTGGAGTCATGGTAAGCGAGATTTCGCACAGCTTTATGGGGGATTTCTCTGCGCATCCAAACTGCGAGTACTCACGGTATAAGGAGGAAATTCGTTAAAGCGAATTTCCAAGACATTCCCTTCACAGCTTTAAAGGGGGGGGCTATGGACCATCTCTTCTTCTTAGATCACCAGCCAGCATCACTCCTTCTCCAAGTTGGCTGCTTATATTCTCTCCTCTGGCATTGCGCTATGGGTGATTAGAGGAACTATCCTAATACTTGTACCAGATAAAATGTATTTTCCTAAAAATTTGGCTAAAGTGCATTTATTTTCTCTTGAGAAGTGGTCCATACATATAAGATATATAATACACAATGTGGTCCATACAGTGAACTTTGGTGTAGAGTTCTTAAGTTTAAGATCATACAAGAGACAAGGGTACTTTTTTATGGCTGGAGGAAAAGACATTCAACTTCCACATACAGAAAGGCTTCTTCATAGTAATGTGCAATAAACCTACCTCAAGAACTAGTTCTGACCAGCTGAGTAGATTGGTTTTTTTTTTTTAAAAAAAGACCTAGATGCATTCCTACATGCACAAAATATAACTGAATATTAATATTTTATAGGTAATATAAACACCAAAGATTGTTGATCCAGGGAATATCCAATTGCCTTTTGGGGATCAGGAAGGATTTTTTTCCTCTGCTGGAGCAATTTGGACCTTGCATTATATGGGATATATAGAATTATGCATATGGAGGTTTTCTATTTTTTTTTCTATTTGTTTATTTTTGTATTGGTTGAACTGCATGACTTGTATCTTTTTCCAACCTGACTAACTATGTAACTACTGTATCACATGGAGACATGAATCCTTGCAAAATGAACTGACTTTAATGTAATATAACCTGAACAAATCACACATAGTTGGTATAGTAGCATAGTTCCAAAGAAATGGTAAGGCTTGTAAAACTAAGTCTTCCATCCATATGGTATAAAGTCCCATCCAGGGGCGGACTGAAAAATCATGGGGCCCCCGGGCAGTAGGGGATCATGGGGCCCCTGTGTCCTTGCCCAAACTCAAAAAAGCCTATGAAAAAGGCACCAGGGGCATCTCATGGCGCCCCCTACTGACCCCGGGCCCTCGGGCGGTGCCTCGCGTGCCTGAGTTTCTAAATGGTCAGTCCGCCCCTGGTCCCATCATAGGGTAAGTAGAAAATAACTGTTCCCAGTTAGGGTGTAAGGAGGGGATTTTGCGGTAACTCACTCATCAGTCTTAAAGGTACTCATTAGATCTGTTGTACAAAGCTTTTTTTTTTCCTACAAACAGGCCCCTAGGCTTTCAGTTCCAAGCTGAGCTCTTCAAAGGAAAAAAAACCCACTCTAACTAGCATCCACATCTTGTTTCAGCCATGCATTCTTCAAGATTCTCTCCTCCTGAAGACCCTCCCTTCCTATAAATCCTATGGGAGAACTAATTTATGCCTGCAAGGTGACTTTACAGATTAAAGGGAATTCCCATCCACAGTCCATTTTGTGGAGGAATACTGCCTTACACTTACAGCTGCAGCAGTGTAAAAAAAAAAAAGAATAAGGTCCCATGCAATGACTATGGGCTATGCTGGAAGGTAGGCAGAGTAGGTGTTGATGTAACACTGGGGACAGGTGTTGATGTAAAGATCACCAATAATAGTGGTGGCACATGTAGTGGAAAGTAACCACACTGTGCTGCAATTTTAAAGAGCTTAACCACCGCATGTGGAAAATGTCAAGAGCATGTAGCGCTCTCCATCTCCATCACAGCTGCTAGTCATCATTCCAGCATCCTGATTTTGGCTGTGATACATTTTCCCTGTCTGTCTGTCCACTTGCGAGGAGATTGATTGTGATCAGTCTCTAGGTGGAAACCCAAACCTGATTTAGGCCAGCCAAGTCCTACAGTCTCATGCTTGTGATATTGTGTTTGTAAATATGAGCTCCACAATAAAAAAGGGGATTAAGCAAGTTGTTGCCTGCCCCACCTGCTAGTTTGGATTCCCAGGTTGTTGATGACCTATGGATTGGAAAGTATCGACTACTACCTGGACCTCTGCCTAGAAACCTTTTGACTACGTGATTTGACCCTGACTACTGGTTCCGATCTATAGCCCACATACAATGATTTAACCAAAAGTGTGAACCAAAGATTACAGTACACATGGGGCTAGCTGGATGTCATTGAAACCACTCTGTCTGCCAACCGCAAGTACCTGTTTACTGTGCTCAGTTCACCCCTGTAAATTAACTTACTGCCCTGACTTGGTGACCGCAATACTGTTTTACTCTATAGCAATAGTACCATCCTATAAGTCCTAATAGAATTGTGTATAGTTCCTAGAGGCAACCAAGTTACTGACAGGCTAACTGCTTGCCTTATGGGAAAGGGGGCTGCTATAGGGGAAGAACACAAAAGCCAGCTTGACAGATATCATTGCTGCCAACCTGCATATTTTACTGCCTAGGTAAGCCACAGACTGGGTAAATATTATCAGTGTGTCACCTATTGTATAGACAAGAATTAATAGAGTTAATGCAGCGCAATGAAAACTAAGTTGTGGTGCACTGCATTTTCTTTTTCTTGAGCAAGGGGGCCCAGCTAATGTACTTGCACACAGAACCACTGCATTCAGAAAATGTCCCTGTTAAAGAGGGACTTTCTACCAGTTGTCTTGTCCCAGTAGCTCATAGAATTAAATGATAACATAAATGAGTTTGATTCTTCATTATCTGAAATAACTCATTATATACTAATTCTCCTAAATGTTAAGAGATTGTCATATCATAATACATTTTTGCTCAAGTGTATATTAAAGTTAAAGATTTGCTTACCGCCATTCTGGCTTGCCTCTCCCGCTCTTTTTCAGTTCGAAACCGTTGTTGCTCAGCACGTTCAGCTCTGCGCCGTTCCTAAGTTAGTTAAATAGTTATGTTAAAAAAAAAAAGACACCTGTTCATCAATTACATGAGAAACCCTAACACTACAGTTAGTGGAAGCAGAAAGAAACATTATAAAGCATGGTCAATTTGCTCCAACAAAGAAAAAACTCTTTCTTTCTGGGATGAACAGATAACTCCATGTGTTAGTGCTTATATTTTGTGAATTTAGAGACACATCCTGCCTTGAAGATCAAGCTTTGCTTAAAGGATAAGTTCACCTTTTTGGAAAAAATAATTATTGCACATTTTTTTGCAGTTAATAAAAAATATGCATTTATTATTTTTGTCTACAAAAGCCTGGAAAGCATTGCCCCAGCGATCAGTAGATCGCTGGTGCCATGCGGGTCTCCTGCAGACCTGTCAGTATATCTGTTTTCCCCGTTACACCCTGAATATGGGTGCTTAAAATCACGTATATATACGTGCTATATAGGTGGAAAAATCATGTATATATAGGTCGCATGCGCAAGCCGTGCACGCCCTACCCATGCCTCCATTCGTGGCCTCGGCTGTCAATCACTGAGTCCCGGTGATCGCCGACTTTCTCCGACGGGGGAGAGACCTGTATGTAAACAATACAGATCTCTCCCCTGTCAGCTCCTGCTATGCAAAGCCATACAAAGCAGTGTGCTTACAGTGAAACACAGACACAGACACAGCCCATGTAGTAAAACAGCACACAGCACAGTTAACCCTTTGATCACCCCAGATGTTAACCCTTTCCTGCTCAGTGTCATTAGTACAGTGTCAGTGCTTTTTATTAGCACTGATCACTGTATTGGTGTCACTGGGGATGTTAGTAACACCAAATCAGTTCCCCCGTGTCAGAATGCCCGCCACAATCCCGCTATAAGTCGCTGATTGTCGCCATTACTAGTGAAAAAAAATTCCAGTATCTATACCGCTATTTGTAAACACTATAACTTTCACGTAAGCCAATTAAATTACACATATTTGGATTTTTTTTTTTTAGCAAAGACATGCTCAGAATACATTTTGGCCTAAATTTATGATGAAATTTGATTTTGAACATTTTTTTACTGGACATGTTTAATAGTAAAAAGTAAAAAATATTGTTTTTTTCTCAAAATTGTCTTTTTTTGTTTATAGCACAAAAAATAAAAAAACGCACAGGCGATCAAATACCACCGAAAAAAAGCTCTATTTGTGGGAGAAAAAAGGATGTAATTTTCATTTGGGTGCAGTGTTCTTTCCCCGTGCTTGATTGATATTAGTATATCCGGCTATATACTTTCTGGGCCTGTCAAGCTGCAAGAAGTAGGCCTTGGGGAGTATTGTTAATAATGAAAGAGAGGGCGATTTTTTTTTTTTCAATATCTGCTAAGATTGTGGGTCTTGAAAATGTAATTTGTTTAGATGTCACTGCCAAGGCCATGGGGAAGTTTAACCTATTCGCAAAGTAGTTCAGATAAGTGTGCATTCAGAAAACATAATATTTACAATATATGGTAGAGTTCTAAAAAAAAGGGAGATGTTGCTGAATTGTAAAAAAGTAGTCTATGAGTATAGGTTTTGTTACTGGTTGAGTATAAGGCTTAATCTTTTGTTGTTGGGTGGTGGATTCTCCATACATCAGTTAATTGATGGGTGTGTATACATTTTCTGATTCTTCAAAGGGTCATATGAGGTGTATGTCTTCAAGCAATCAGAAAATATTTGAAATCTGTGAAAATTATAGTATGGTAAAATAATCTATACATACAGTATTCGTTCAATATATTAAAAGTTGTAAAACAACAAACATGCCATACTTACCCTTTTCCTTGCAATGATTTTGCACAGCTCAGCCTTCAATCCTCCTCTTCTCCGGTCCCCTGTCAGCACTCCTGGCGCCCCCTCTCCTGCACAGTACTATAAGACACACAGATTTTGGCTTATCCCCACTCCCTCCTCACTGGCTGTGATTGACAGCAGAGGGAGCCAATGGAGAGAGAGACCCGGGAGAGCCGCTGATCCCATGCACAACGCCGGATCGAGATGGTGATCAGGTAAGTATTAGAGGGGGCTGTGGGGGGAGCAGCACACAGAAGGTTTTTTACCTTTATGCATAGAATGTATGAAGGTAAAAAACCTTCAGCCTTTAAAACAACTTTAAATACTTACATAACAAACATACATATATAGAGGAGCAATATGGGGCCCCATATGTAGTAGAATATACCACATTAGTATTAAAATGTTTTTCTTAAGAATATAGTGTAAATTATTATGCAGTGCAATTTAAGGCAATCAACTATGTGAATATAACATCATTGACGTTGGTGAATATATACATGTCACCACTTTAAAGTGCAGTTAAAGTCTAGTCTAGAAGAAAGATCTGGTTATTGTTGGGTGGAGATGAACTGATGGTTCAGACTGAACTCTGTTCGAGCATTTTGATGATTGCCTGAATTTAGCCTGTTCGCCCCCTTTTGCTGGTAGTCATGCATTATGTAATATGTAGCATTACCCTCGCGGGGGCCGCAGTGTTGAAGGGAATCCATAGGCTTCCCTTCGCACAGCCAGGCAACTCGTATCTCCACACAGACCTGCATCCAGAGACAGTGACCAGTCTATGAACTTGATTTTATTGCTTTATTTAGGGGAATTCAACTTGGATAGGGAAATAGGGATTATAGGATGCCCAATTCAATTTGAAATAATGTTACACTTCCTTCCTATGTACAAAGCAGATCCTGGACTGTTCTTTTCCTGAAAGCCATCAGTCACTGGGGATCAGTAGCAGCTGTCCTTATGGGTGAGGAACTAGTAGTTCCTCAAAAATCACTTTGCTTTCTGTAGCTACATGCAGAGACATCTTTTCTCCCCCTACAGAGCTGCGCCCAGCTCCCTGGCCTGCAAAAACTACCAGCCCTCCTGGATTCTCGGAAGATCAAGGATAAAAGGATTTAGCTCAATGCTGTCCTTGGAAACTTGCTATGTTTGGCAGTCTTTCCCCTTGAAGATTCCATAATGTGCTGCTGTCCTCTTTGCTCCCTGCTGCTACAGGCCTGATCCCCTCCACGTCTCTCTGCAGAATATATCCTTCTGAGCCAGCTCGAGCCCAGCCTAAAGGCTGCCCCCCCAGACCTAGGGGACCCCTCCTAGACATCGATAGTCCTCAGCACTCCATCTTCCTCCCGAATTCTCTGTCAGCCAGACTTTCCCATAATTATAGGCCAGTCCACCACCCTACCCAGGCCTCCAAACCTGGGATTGGCTAAACCTCCCATAAATATGCAGATTAGGCCTCCACCACTCCTTCTTAACGACCTCTGAAAGGTTCTATGGTCCTCCAGAGTCAGGAGGAGGCGATAGATCCACAACCTGTAGAGTCATCCAGCTGACCTGCAATAATCCAACCTTAATGACCCACACAACTACCATGGGCCATTAACAATAATTTTACCTGTAATACTCTACACTATTCTAGTAGCACACTAAAGGGTGCTACAAATATATAAGGAAGCTGTCATCTGGCTAGTACTACTGTCGGCATTAGTTTCAGGGGTTTTTTTTCAGTATGTCGGTGGGTGGCAGGATTGAAAATGAATTTTGACAATGAAACGAGGGACATTTTTTGGGAAATGTTAATTTTTTAAAAAGGAACTTGTCAAACATTTGGATGTCTCTACTCTATTTATAGGTTATAACTTTTTTTTCCTTTTATGAATGAGTAGGAGTACTATGTACATACTGTGTAAATATGTATATTTACCTTTAGTAAAGCTGGGTACATACACACACACTCACATATGGTTTTTCGCATAGTTTTTTTCTTTGTTTTAACCAGCAGGTTGCCAATCATGTCACTGCTCCCTGCATCCACACAACAGATGTGTATACAAGAATCTCCCACGCTGCATTATTGTAGTCTGACAGCGTGGACTCTCTACCATCAGAATGTACTGATCAGCACTGCAGCCATTGGTTTTTCAGCAGGACCATTTGTCAAAAAATGGTCATTAGATTGGCTTCTGTTGAACAGAGAGGAATACACATACCGAAAGTCATCTAATTCCCGCTGAACCTGGCGAATTTTGGGCAGGAGCAAACTGAGCACAGCAAACAGCTGTGATAGCCAGGCACTATAGTGTTGTGTATAAGTCCTGGTACAACCGAGTACCAGTAGGCCTGCTTACCTTATGGGAAAGGGGGCTGCTATAGGTGAAGAACACAGAAGCCAGCTATAGGGCCTAACCACCTGTGTTAGGGTAAGCGCGACATGGCCAAACTAGAGTTCTGTAAAATGTTATAATTATAGTTTTATCTCTTGAGTAAATATCCTTTTTAATGCATGATAATAGTCTGCTGGCCTTGCTTGCTACAGCTTGGCATTACATGCTATTTCTGAGTTGATGGTCTACTAGGACTCCCAAGTCATTTTCCATCCTTGATTCCCCCAGAGGATCTTCCCCCAATAAGTATCTTTCATGCATATTTTTAGCCCCCAAGTGCTTAACTTTAAAATTTTCAGTATATTAAATCTCACCTGTCATATAGTCACCCACCCCTCTATTTTATCAAAGTGTTCTTGTAAAGTTGCTGTATCCCGGTGCAAAATTTGCCCTAAATAGCTTGGTATCATCAGTGAACAATGATATATAACTATTTTTTCCAAACTCTATATCATTTACAAACAAGTTAAACAGGACTGGTCCCAGGACAGAGCCCTGGCAAAAGTCTCGCCCATTACTAGTCCAAGCGGGTAAAGTGACTGCGAAAGGTGACAGAGCATTACAAATCTATTTAGGGCAGAGGATAACCAATGGTTCTGCTAACAGGATCAACAGGTATTTATAGGATATTTCAGGGGGTATTGAGAAACAGATAGGACAGTATTTGATGTTGGCAGATTATAAAATGTTATATTTTGACCATAATTCTACTTTAAAGCATATTTAAACCTAAAAACAAAAATGTTATATATTGCAGCTGGTGGAACGTTTTTAGCAAGTATACAACATACTTGTTGCTCGAAAAATGCAGTGCACTTGTTACTTCCTGTGAGCTAAAAACAAAGCAAAGAGAAACCCTATATTTTCTGTGTAAACTATTCCCATCAATCCACCATGTAATAGAGATGAACAAAGGCAGACATTTTTGAAGTCCTGCCAGTGTGACCACCATTGTTTTGCATACATACAGTATATACAGTGGAGAAAAAAGCCTAAGCAGGAAGGGACAAGACTCTTTTGGTCTGGTAAATATTTGGAAGCTTTCTGTTAAAAAATACCTGTTGATCATGTCAGAAATACAGATTCTGTCCTGCATCCAGTGCACACTTCTTGTTATATCTCAAAGAGATTAATTGGCCCCTTCAGTCCTTAACAGACTACAAAATTATTAACCTTTGTGTTGTGGAGATGGGAAATTAGGTGGGTGTGAGTAGTTTGGCAAGAGTGTCCAAAAACTGCTGTGTATTGCCAACCCACAACAGGACTAAAGCTGGGTACACACTATATTTTTATTTCATTCAACCCAGTGGGCTGAAAAAAAAACCTGAGAGGTCACCGTATTAACAATCAATATTAGTGTGACGATCTGCCCCGCTGTGCTATTGTGTCCTGACAGGGGGACTCCCCCCTGCCAGAACACACTGATCAGAGCTTGCAGTCATTGGCTGTCAGCGCTTATCGGATACTGGTGTTCCAGCATGCCTTTTCAACATAAGCCGGTAATGAGACTGGCTTCTGTAAAACTGACAGTTATACATGCAGGCCAAAAATTGTCCGGTTCCTGCTGAATCAACCATTTTCCAAGGATTTTCAGCCCATATGTACTCGGCTTTAGGCAGCCCACACAATATTACTTTTGTTTTGTTCAACCAGCGGGTTGAGTGAAGAAAAAAATTACCCAATTTCCCCATTTACACATTTGATACATTGATCTGTGCTGCCAGCTATAGCCCACGGCACTAATCAGTTAGGAAAAAGACAACAGGGTGGTTCTAGATAGACCAAAGCCAGTAGACAAGCTTCTGTACAACTAGCCTGCCCATACATGGATAGAAATTTGGCAGGTCCCTGAATTTTGATCCATGTATGGCCGGCTGTATGTTAGCCATAGATGGGTAGAATTTCAAAGGAAAATTCTTAGAAAAAGAAGGAAAAGAATTAGTGGGTCAAATCGATGCTCGTTTTCGACTGCAGTGGCAAGAAAATTTGAAAGAGCGGGATGAAAATGTTTTCTCGAATGAACAAATTTTCAACTGTGTATGTGGTTCTCATTTCGTAAAGACTATTCATTCCAAAATCAAATGTTAAAAGCAAAAGAAACCTTCTGTATGCCATTTAAATGTTCTGAAAATGTACTGAGAATTTTCATAAGAAGACTTTTCCTAAGAATTTTTGCTAGAAATTCTGTCCATCTATGGCCAGCTTTAGGTGCTGAGTGCATTTTTGAGAGGTGATTTTCTGTACTTGAAGGGCCTTTAGTGGAGAAAAACATGGGGAAATGTGACATGTTTTGCAGAGATGCTCTACATACTGTATGTTTTTTTTTATTTTGCTGTGACATACATTTTAAGGTGTAGATCTTTTATTATTCCCAGAAGACAAATCTTCAGTAACAAATGCCGAGGTATAGTTGATATCACATATCATTTTAGAATAACAAAACATCAATATCAATCCATTGTATAACAGCAGTGGTGACAATCTGATAAACATGTGGGTCTTTGGTTATATTAGAAAATGAGACCGCCCACCTTTCTATGTTTGGGCTCTATTTGGCTCACAACTCTTGCCCCCTGCCTTCATTTGTAAGTGATGCCTACAAAGGGTTGCTATAAAACAATGTGAAAGAGAACAAACCAAATTTTCCCGTATATTTCAAAACATACTCCAGAAACTAAATTTTACAAATTGGATTGCCATGATTACATATCAAAAGGTGAGCATTATCTAATTTGGATGTCGGAAAGTATGATTCACTGATACAGTTAAAGGCTCCCCTGTCTTTTGTTATTTGTAGCTTCTAAAACACAGCTGAACACAGGTTTTGGATGGTCACACCACACTGTGGTGGTGCATGAAGGGAGATTCCAGGGCACACATTATGCTACATCGTGTTGTACTTTAATGAATGTGTTGGAAAGTAGTATTAATTATACATACTATTCTGTCTTTTAATCCAATTAATTCCCTCCTCCTCCTTTTTGCGCTGTTCAAAATGGACGTCAATCAATGTCTGAAGTTCTAAGAGATCTTTTTCCATGCGCTTCCTATGGATGTCCTGTTGATAAAGAATTATAACATGATTGTGAGAAATTCTACTTCTGTGTAAACTTTGGGAAAGTTGTAGTTATGATCTCCCTTTCTACAAACAGTCAAATTGCATATCTTGATATGTGCTAAGATTGTTGGCCATTATAAATGTATTTTTTAACATTGTGGAGTAGAGGTGATATCTTTTTGCATTTCCAAAGACATTCACATGCACTAATAAAGTCTAAGTGTAGTCAAAATTAAAAGCACAGGATTGTATAAATAAAGAATGAAAAAACCACAAGAGACATGGCTTACTAATCATGCACAGTGTCCCCTTTGCGACTAGTTTCTTTTTTCACATCCCACATCCCTGCAATGGTAATCATCCAGTGCAGGGGGGGTTAATAGAACTGAGGTAGCTGCCATTTGATCAAGAACAACCGGTCTATGCCTGCCCTTTATGCCTAGCTCCTCCATTCATAGTAACCAGTATTACAGCTTCTATGAATGAAATGTGATCTATGAATGGAGGGGGTGAACCTTCCAGTCATCAGCCTGTCCTCCATTCACAGATCCTGTTGGGCTCACTTAGCAAGGTACATGACAATCTGCAATGAGATAGCTTAAAATGGAAGGCAAGTCAAAACCTAACTGAGCTTAAATCTACCCCCATCTCCATCCTAAGACTAATTTCTCTACCTTGTAAATGGAAAAGAAGCTTAAGCTTATACTGTTCTGAAGTCGCTCTGGTCATGGTCACATGGAGTGCCAGCTTCAGTGTAGAGGAGAGATCATCAACAATGGCTGCAAAGCTTGGGCGATGATGTCACCCTTGCGCCTACTATGGGGCATCTGTTGTCAGCTGTCCCTCCCCTACACTGAAGCCGATACTTGGAGTTGGTCGTGTGACCAGACCATAGCGACTTCAGAATGGGTAATTATAGCCATCTCTAAGTTTACAGGGTAGATAGAATAGGCATAGAATGGGGGTGGGAGTACATTTAAGCTTAGCTAGGTTTGGACTTGCCTTCTTCCACTGTAAGTGCCTAAATCTTTCTAAAAAATATTTTTTAACAGCCAATGACCTGGAACAAATATGTCAGACTGATAAGTATACTTGTTTTAGGTCAGTGACTAAAAAGTGCAGAAACTGAAGCCAGAGCTTCAACATGGCAGCCAGGGAACTTATATTTTCAGAAGACGTTTAGCAGAGCTGCACTTTACACATTATCAGCACTTTTCCCACTGCTTTGGCAAATCATTTGAATGGCCTATATTGGGTTTTAATGAACAATATTCTTATAAAAGTAAAACAGAAATCTTTTTGTTGCTAGTCAAGGCAATAGTGAACTGTTAAAAGCAGAACTCCATTTTGCTTCTATGGATATTGCACCCTTACTGATCAAAACAAAAAGTAAAGGCATTGTAAACTATCAAATGTTTTTGTTGTGTCAACTAGATACTGTATTAGTGTAGTTATATATCCTCCAACTGTGCCAGTTGTTTGCCTTACCTAGTAATGATGGGCTCACATGTTCTGGCTGCAGATCTTAGGGTTATTGCTGATTGATTCCTCATTCACCTAGCTTTTCCCTATTCATTAAGGGGACATGTAACTTCTTGTATCAGGTCATGCAATATATGTTTCATACCTTGCCATTTCATTTGTATTATCTCAGAAATGTGGGAGTTCCAGGGCTTTTTTTTCTCAGAGAAGAGGTGCAGGAACTCAACCGGGCCCCCTGTAAGCCCCCACAGGGGGACAGCACGCCGCATCAAAAGACCTTATTAAAGGCTTTGTTAAATATCATGAGGGCTTTATGCACATTGTATGTAGTATACAGCTGAACTGAGTGCAAGGTTCAGGAGTGCACTATGTATAGGTCATAGGACTCCGGAGTGTGCTACAAAAAGCGTCCAGGACTCAGGAGTGCATTACGTACAGGGTCCAGGACTCAGGGGTGTGCTACGTACAGGGTCCAGGACTCAGGAGTGCAGGAGTGCACTATGTAAATGGTCCAGGACTCAGGAGTGCACTACGTACAGGGTCCAGGACTCAGGAGTGCACTACGTATAGGGTCCAGGACTCAGGAGTGCACTACATACAGGGTCCAGGACTCAGGAGTGCACTATGTACAGGGTGCAGGGCTTAGGAGTGCGCTATGTACAGGGTGCAAGGTTCAGGATTTTGCTATGTACAGGTGCAAGGTTCAGGAATGCGCTATGTACATGGTGCAAGGTTCAGGATTGCGCTATGTACAGGGTGCAAGGTTCAGAATTGCGCTATGTACAGGGTGCAAGGTTCAGAATTGTGCTATGTCCAGGGTTCAGGAGAGTACCATGTATAGGACGCAAGGCTCAGGTGTGCGCTATGTTTAGGGTGCAGGGCTTAGGAGTGCGCTATGTACAGGGTGCAAGGTTCAGGATTGCGCTATGTACATGGTGCAAAGCTCATGAGTGCGCCATGTAAAGAGTGCAGGGTTCAGGAGTGTGCCACGCACAGGACGCAAGGCTCATGAGTGCGCCACGTAAAGAGTGCAGGGTTCAGGAGAGTGCCATGTATAGGACGCAAGGCTCAGGTGTGCGCTATGTTCAGGGTGCAGGGCTTAGGAGTGCGCTATGTACAGGGTGCCCTCGTCTGCTCTCATAGGAATCATGCAGGGCAGGGAGGCCTATGTGCACATCGCCGGAAGAGGTGTGCAACCGCTGGGAAAAGAGCTTGTGAACTGCCGGCAGAGAAACCTGTGCTTCTGTGTGTGGAAGTGCCAGTAGTGGTGGGCAAGGGGCTAGCACCGGAGTTGCCAGAACTCTATTTTGGCACGTTCTGACTGAAAAATATCCCTGGAGAATGCTAATGTGAAGAAACACATCTCTTAGCATGGTGATCTTTCTGTGAATGCCTTTGCCTTTTGTAGCTATACCCAGGGCTGGACTGACCATTTGGGAACTCAGCCACTGCCCGAGGGCCCCGGGGTCAGTAGGGGGCCCCATGAGATGCCCCTGGTACCTTTCATAGGCGTTTTTGGGTGTGATTTGAGTGTGGGCGAGGACAATGGGGCCCCATGATCCCCTATTGCCCGGGGGCCCCATGAGTTGTCAGTCCGCCCCTGGCTATACCAGATCTAATTACTGCACCTGCACCAGTGCTAGACTGAGAAACCCAAGGAAGGTGGAACATGTAGCTTCTGTACAGGAAGTGTCAGTTCTTGGACTAAAGATGGAGGTCGTGCATTAACCCGTGTAGTGCCATGCTACATGCCTCATGTTTAAACACAAACAGAACTTCTGACACTGAAATGTGAACATTTACTTTTACTATAGACTGTGCATACAGAGCAACACAAAACACCATGAAATTAAACGATCAACGCACATTTTACACAGATAAAAAAACACAAGGTGCAAGCTTATAATGCCTTTAATATGGCATTATTTTAACCAATAAGACACATGGGATACATGGGCTAATATGCTTAAATTCAGATTATCTAAAACCTTGCAGTTGAGGTGCTGCTTTATAAAGAAAAATGGTAATTACCACTGAGAAAGATAAGTATGCTGCCTTTTATTTACATGTGTGTGCTTGCCTTAGAACATTTCCCCATGTGACAGGGTCTCCTTAAATAAAAAAAAAATTAAAGCCTTTTTAAAATAATACCTACATCAAAGTCAACTCGTTCTCCCTCTGGGATTTTTGGGGGGGCAAGCTGTGTCATCATTGGTCTGTAATTAAAAAAAACAATAATTGTAAAATGGGGAATCCTTTTAATTTACAATGTTGAGGTCTTTAAAATGAATTTTTATTTGGCTTGCTGAAAATGCAGTACACAAATTGCTATTGAAGGAAACCAGTAAGTGAGACGATGTGCCTTTATTGGTCCTCATGCACACTGGACGTTTTTTTTACAGCTGCTGTTTTTGGCGTTTGACGTTTTTCTACAGTCAATAAACTCCCAAGCATGTTATCCTATGTGTCCATGCACACGTAGACTGTAATCAATGGTTTTTGGCAGGAAAAAATACCCCAAACTAGTGGGTTTCTAGAGTTTTTTAGCTGTAAAAACGCTCTAATGCTGAAAAATACTGAAAAATGAGACAAAACAATGCAAACCGGCATTTTTGAACTTTTTTGACCAAAAAAAAATTTTTTTTGGTGAAAAAGAAATGCTAAAAACCGTAAAACACAGAAAAACACGGGAAAACGCCGCTAACTGCGACAATACACTGCTAAACGCTAATGCAAAACACTAAAAAACTCACGTTTTTAACATGACTTTACACAGCTAACATTACCAGCGTTATCAAAACGTCAAGTGTGCATGAGGGCTTAGCCAACTCTTGGATACAGTAGTTTTACTTTGTCACTGATTTTTTTGAGGCCAGTAAGGGGAATCCTCTTGGACAGAGGAATGGCAGCTGCTGGGGCTTAGCCATGAAGGAAGGGAAATTCAGGCCCCAGAAACAACATGAAACTAAAGTGCAAAACACAGAAATTATGTTTCTGGCAAATAAAGGTTTTTGCTATTGTTTTGGTATGTTTGCGTACCTGGCAAGAATTTTACTTTTAAACATTCTAAATGGATTAAAGATTCACTTTAAAAAGGCTCTCCAGTCATCGAAAATCCAGCCATATATCATCAATGAGATAATTTTAGAAAAGCGCCACACTTTCGACCATATATAAATAAACACCTATAGCCGCAACTCCCAAACCCAAACAATATTTAGGCATAAAAATATTGAAAAAATAGGAAAGCGCTAAATAATTAAATGTAACAGCAAAATAAAATAAAAGTGTCCATAATTAAATATGTGAAAGTCCAAACACCAAAAATATAACAAAAAATATAACAAAAAGTCCTCTTGTGAAAATCATAACACCGTGATCAATCCACCACCAAATCAATTGGATAAACTCACCAGAGCTAAATGCTGATCAGGTTATAGACCAGCACAAGCACTTTTGCTCTGGGAGCGATGAATAAAGCGATATCCAGATTATAGATGCAATACTCTGCAGTGGTAATCACATCTCCAGGTAACAAGCAGCAATACTCCGCAATGGTGGACAATATCTCAATGTAAGGAGCAATACTCTGCAGCCAATCCTCCCAGGATGAGCCTTTTCATATACCAACGTATCTCCATAAATATAGGGACCACACTCAGGGACAAAGGAAAAGAAATGATGGTGCAGCACGTTTTAAAACAAAATAACATTTAATAAAACTTCATAGCACTCACAAATAAGGTGTCTAGACCGACACCAGCATGAACAGCATAAAACAGCACTGGTAATGGATGAGCCCCGCTCACCGCGGATCACCGTCGACAGTCACAGGGAACATCCTGACGTCAACATCAAGTAGGCCACACCCTACGCGTTTCGTCACCACAACGTCCTCAGGGGGCGGTACCATACCAGCATTTAGCTCTGGTGAGTTTATCCAATTTATTTGGTGGAGGATTGATCACAGTGTTATGATTTTCACAAGAGGACTTTTTGTTATATTTTTGTTATATTTTTAGTGTTTGGACTTTCACATATTTAATTATGGACACTTTTATTGTATTTTGCTGTTACATTTAATTATTTAGCGCATTCCTATTTTTTCAATATATCATCACTGCACTTTGTAGAATTTACCAGACAGACCACTGAGAGCTTCCCTATCTGTTGTCTCACTCCTTCAGTGTCATATCCTATTCTGTATGCCATTTGCCAGCATGACAGCCTTTTATCAGTCTGAAACCTGACAATGTTTTGGAATTGACATCTGCTTCTTCTCACTCACTGTTCTATATATTCCCCACTATCTCTTTGGAAGGGTGCCATTTTATGATTTTTTTAAAAAGTGTAACTAAAGGCAAAACCTCTCTTTTATTTTGGTTCCCATAGCCAAAACAGGAAGTGAGAGTAAATCCCTCCAAAGTGAGGGAATCCCAGGGTGTCACCAGGGTCACCAGAACTAGTATCCCCATTGGAAGATTTCCCCTCAATTAGTGTTCTGTGCTAACCCAAAATTTAAGATTTTCTTTTACTTTCACTTTTTACATCAAAGCCGATTTTGAAATCGTGCGACTTACAGCGAAGTCACACGATTTCAAAATCGGATGACCTGCTAATTCCACTTGTGATTTGCAAGACATCTGACACAGATGTCTATGCAAATCACAACAAAAGTAGTGCATGTACTACTTTAGAAATTGGGACCGCACTGATATGACCGCTCTAAACACACAGAGCACACTTAGAAAAACACACAGAGCACACAGTTAACCCTTTGATTGCCCCAGATGTTAACCCCTTCCTGCCCAGTGCCATTAGTACAGTGTAAGTGCTTTTTATTAGCACTGGTCACTGTATTAGTGTCACTGGGGATGTCAGTGGCAGTTAGTCAGTTCCCTCCCAGTGTCAGAATGCCCGCCACAGTCCCTCAGTCCCGCAATAAGTCACTGATCGGCAACATTACTAGTAAAAAAAAAAAATAATAAAAATTCCAGTATCTATACCGCCATTTGTAAACGCTATAACGTTCACGTAACCCAATTAATTTACACATATTGGGTTTTTTTTTTTAGCAAAGACATGTAGCAGAATACATTTTGACCTAAATTTATGACGGAATTTGAATTTTAAAATTTTTTAACTGGACATGTTTACTAGTAAAAAGTCAAAAATATTGTTTTTTTTTTTTTTTCAAAATTGTTGGTCTTTTTTGTTTATAGCACAAAAATTAAAAAACACACAGGCGATCATTTACAACATTGCATGACTGCACAATTGTCAGTTACAGTAATGCAGTGCCGTATTACAAAAAATGGCCTGGTCAGGAAGCGGGGTAAATCCTCTGGAGGGCAAGTAGTTAAAGTGATAGTAAAGGATGAAACTTTTTTGTTTTTTGTTTTAAATGTTATACTTACCTGCTCTGTGCAATGGTTTTACACAGAGCAGCCCCAATCCTCCTCTTCTCAGGTCCCCCGATAACACTCCTGGCTCCTCCCCACCTCTGAGTGCCCCCATAGCAAGCTACTATTGCTAGGTCAGCACTTGTGTGTTCTAGCTCCAGAGCCGGCTATGTGTATCTATTGACAAACTGAATGTGGCTTGGCCCTGCCCTGCACTGGATGTTTTAAAGCTGTAATGGCTGAAGTGTTAATATTACTTTTTAGAATAACAGGACACCCTGTACCGTGTGAAATGTACCTTTCACATTAACATATTGACAAAATAAAATATTCTTACCTTGGCCTGGGGCGCTCCTCCTCTGTATAAGAAAAAGAGAGATACATTTATTTCAGGACTGAATGAATGATATGTGACATTTTATTGTACTATTCAAAACAAATATTTATTTTTTATTAATATTTATATAGTGCCAACAATTTACACAGCACTTTATTTACTGTACGTTGACATCAGTTCCTGCCCTCAAGGAGCTTACAATTTAAGGTCTCTATTTCACATGCGCAGCATATATGCACATTAATGTTTGGCCCAATTTGGACAGGAGCCAATAAACCTTCCAGCAATCTGTGGAGTTTGGGAGAGAACTCATGGAAGCACAGGGAGAACATGCAAAGGTCATGTAGGTAGTGTCCTGAGTTGGAAGCCAGCCAAGAACCCCAGTGCTCCAAGGCAGTGCTAACCACTAAGCCACAGTACAATCAAGTCAACTATTGGTAAATGGAAAGATTTAGCTTTTTTAAAATTCTTTATTTATAAGAAAAAACAAGGTTAGAGATAAAGCAGTTGGGATAGGCATTGAAAATGATACATACATTTGCAAAAAGCCATGTTCAGTCAGAAATGTATCATATCAAGTCTTGTTGGATGTATGTACATTCCGCTTTTATTATCACAGAAAGTGGTTGGTGTAAATCATACAATCCAAATATGTCCAATGGCATTAGATCAAATGGAAACATAGATACAGTTGTAAATTTGCTATGACACCTTCCTTGGTTTTTAACTTGATAACAGAACAAGAACAGTATTTCAAAGCAAATACAAGTGGGAAATATTGGGATGTAAGGGTATTAACTAAGGAGGAACCATCTAGGTAAAATACTCGATCTGGTGTTTTCCCACATTAGGAAAAGGATGGAGTGATGGGGGATGGAGAGGCTCTGAATAGTAGGACAGGGGCCATAAATGGAATAATTTAACATGCTCTGGTGCCAGATTTTACAAGTTAAAAGAGAAGTATGGGGTTAAAAAAAAAAAAAATTCACCTAGGTGGTTACTGCCTCTTCACTGAGAACTGAGCGATCAAACACTGCTGATTGCTCAGTTCTCCCCTCCGCTCTGAGCAGAGAGCTGTGTGATGTCAGTTACCGTCTCTGTGCTCTGCCCCTACATCGCTCACTGGAGAGCTAGGCTGGGGAGGGAGCAGATAGCTCAGTCTCAGAGCGGTGCAACTAAGAGGTTGAACCAGCTGCCAGTCTGGTTTCTGGGTGGATCCCAACTGTACTGTCGAGATCCTTCCAGAGCCTGGGCTGGCTATGTGACAACAGCTGGTAGCGGGCTTTGCCGCTCTGTCAGCTGTAAACAGGTCACAGGAGTGCAGAATAAACTGCACTTCTATGATCCATCGGAGAAATATAGCCAAAAAAACTTTGGCCATACATCTCCTTTAATGACAACTTATTTTTCCAGTGCAAAATAGTGTCGAAATTTGCCTGTCCTGTCATCGATCAAAATCGAATCAAGCGACTGAAGCAGCATAATAGTCTGTACGGGCATGGATAGCAGTGTGTGTTTATAGCTCTGGGTCTGTTTTGTAAATCGGTAATTTTGCAACGCATGTCTAAACCCAAAAAATATATTGCAGCCTGCCAGTCCATAGTTGTGGTGACTGCGTTATTTTTTTTTTTATTCTTTCTTCCTTTGTTTTTACTATGTGTTTCTGACAGTAACTCACAGACACTCACTCAATCCACTGCATCGAAGAAAGTAGCTATGTTTGTCACACTAGGATGCTCTCCTGATGTAGACTACACAAATTACTTCCTCTTTTTATCTTCAAGGAGGGTGGAATTTGTAGTTTATAGAAGAGTTGGAAAAAAGATAAAATTGTTTGTGATTTTGGTTCAGTTGAAAGAGAGTTACAAAGACACTGCATTTGCAGAATGAAAAACTGTTATTTTCTGAACCTTCTGAAAATATTCTTAAACTGAATAATGAAAACTAATTCAAACACCATATGTAAGGACTGGTAAGTTGCAAGCAGCCTGCAAGGTACAGTAACTAATAAAGTGTATTTCCACTTTTTTTGACCAAATTGGGATAACACCTATTTTTTATTTGTTAATGTTCTGATTCATTTAACACAACTTACAACACATTTAAAAGTTGCCGCTTATCATTTTACTTGCTTTTTTTTCTGGAAATGCCAAAACTGAACTCTTCCACTCTTCCTTTTATGTAATGTTATAGAGGGGGCTGGGGAGTTATGTTTACCATAAGTAGCCCTATGTGTAGTTTGGTGATCTTTATTTTCATATAAAATATACACCTTTTAATTTCTAACACTGCCTGTACTAACAAAGAGTTATAGACCTCAAAGCTTGGGTGAAATATTGTATATAATTGTAAGGTTACCCTACTGACCATACCCCCATTTGAAGCCACAATAACAAAGCATTGCCTCCCAATTTTGGAATAAAGGGCAGACATTCAATTATAAAATGTCTTGGGTGTCAAGAGTAGACAAATGATGCAGAGCACATAGTGCAGAGGTTAGAAATAAGTAATGCATAGCGCAGAAGTCGCCAACTGTCTGCAGAGTCAATAGCTAAAGGCCTCCAAAGTTTGTGTTGCCTCAGATTAGCACAACAGTGCGTAGAGAGCTTCATGGAATGGGTTTCCATGGCCAAGCAGCTGCATCCAAGCTTTATATCACCAAGTGCAATGCAAAGCGTTGCATGCAGTGGTGTAAAGCACACTGCCACTGGAGTCTAGAGCAGTGTAGATGTGTTCTCTGGAGTGATGAATCGCACTTCTCTGTCTGGCAATCCGATGGATGTGTCTGGGTTTGGCAGTTGCCAGGAGAATGGTACTTGCCTGACTGCACTGTGCCTAGTGTAAATTTTGGTGAAGGGGGGATTGTGGTCTGGGGTTGTTTTCTCAGGGGTTGGGCTTGGCCCCTTAGTTCCAGTAAGGGAACTCTTAAAGCATCAGCATACCAAGACATTTTGGGCAATTTCATGCTCCCAGCTTTGTGGGAACAGTTTGGGGATGGCCCCTTCCTGTTCCAACATGATTGCGCACCAGTGCACAAAGCAAGGTCCATAAAGACATGGATGAGTGAGTTTGGGGTGGAGGAACCTTACCTGCACGGAATCCTGACCTCAACCCCATAGAACACCTTTGGGATGAATTAGAGCAGAGACTGCGAGACAGGCCTTCTCGTCTGACATTACTGCCTGACCTCACAAATGCACTTCTGGAAGAATGGTCAAACAATCCAATAGACACATTCCTAAACCTTGTGGACAGCCTTCCCAAAAGAGTTGAAGCCGTTATAGCTGCAAAGGGTGGGCCAACTCAATATTGAGCCCTACAGACTAAGACTGGGATGCCATTAAAGTTCAGGTGTGTGCAAAGGCAGGCGGCCCAATACGTTTGGCAATATAGTATATTTATACATACACTCACATGAAAATACCTTACAAATAGTCCTGTGCACCAAATGTTTCTCTGGGAAACCACACCACAAGTGCCTTTTTGGATGGCAAACATCCAAAGAAGTACTGCGGGAGACAGGTGAGTATTACTGGTTTTTTATTTGAAACTCCTGCGGAGCTCTGTTTTTAAGTGGTCCTAAAGTCAGAATGCTTTTTTACCTTAACACATTCTTTGCATTAAGGTAAACATTCCCCACTACCTGTCCTAGCCACCGCCATCACTAAACACTTACCTGACTCCTCTCACTGCTCCAGTTTTGCCCCAGCTGCCACACCACTCCTGGTCTCACAGGAGACACAGAGCAACAGGAGCCATAGGTCTCTGTTTCTGTCAATCAAACGTCTATAAATAGGGAGTAGGGGTGTGACTTACTGGTGCCGTGTGTGTCTATGGATGCAGTGATAGTGAATTACTGAGAACAAAGACCTGTGAGCCACCCCTTCCCTAGAATAAAGAACTGATAGATTTACTGTATCTACACAATTTAAGGAAACTGAAAATGCAAGACGACTGGCAGTCATGCTGGCTCTTTAACTTAAAGAAAAAGTCTCACTTCAATTATTATTAAAGCGGTAGTAAACTCAGATCAAAAAAAAAAATATATAAAATAAATTCGCTGCAAGGCAATGTTACAGTATACTAAATAAATCAATAGAAAAAGCACCACACTGTATAACAATAATAAACTGTGTGTTAGCAGCAACACCCAACCAAAAAAATTAAAAATATATAAGAAATTAATTTGGCAAAGTGAATAATATCTAATAAGGGCATGCGCTAAATAAAAATATATATCACCATATAATTAAGTGTCCATAATAAATCTGTGCAAGTCCAAAACAAACTCAGAATATCCTTTGTAAGTTCACAGTGATATGAATTCACAAAGGATATTCTGAGTTTGTTTTGGACTTGCACAGATTTATTATGGACACTTAATTATATGGTGATATATATTTTTATTTAGCGCATGCCCTTATTAGATAATGTTACAGTATAATGTGCTAGTTTGCATTGCTTACTAGCACATTATGAAGTACTTATCTTAAAACGAAGCCCTCCAGGGGCACACTGTCACCACTGACAGGGCTTCCATCTTCCCCTGGTCCTCCTTCCGGGTTTGCAAGCTCCGGCCATCTGACTGATGATGACACCCCTGCGCATGTGCGCGGGAGTCATGGGCTATGGCACAGTACTCTGAAGAAATGGTACAGGTATGCCGTTCCTTCTGAGCACATGCGCCGGCTGCCAAAACAGCAAATATCTCCTAAACAGTGCACGTTTAGGGGATATTGATTTTACCTATAGGTAAGCTATAATATGAGCTTACCTGTAGGTAAAAATCACAAAGCAGACTTTATTACCACTTTAATGTGTTCTGTTCACCAGGGGACAAAGTACATGTAAAATCTTATACTCCCAAAGGCTAGCTATGAGGTTGGACAGGGCACCCGTCTTCTCTCCACGTTACTCTAACAACGCAGCTAGCAAGGAGACAGCTGCTTTGTCAAATCGCACTTTTATCTGTCTCCAAGTACTTGCCTGAGACAAACATCTCACAAGAAATGCAATGGACTTGT